TCTTTAAGGGAGAGTCTCCAGACTGATCTGCGAGTGAAACCTTGAAAGCTCGTGAGATCAGGATGGTCTCACGAGGGTAGGGAACCAGGGCAACTTGATGACAAATGGGCTACTGGAACAAGACATAGATGGACAAGAGCAGATGTATATATATGGGTCAAATGTTTGATTTGCTTTTAGTTCATGTCATGTGCTATTTCAGCACATTACTTTTTCAAATGAGAAATACGTCAATCAGTACAAAAACGACATCATCATCCACATAATAAAGAATTAATACATTGACATTTCACAGTGAATTCTTTCTATTTTCTAACGTTAGACCCAATGTCAATAACTAACTCAGTCAATGTCTTCCAGTCAGTCTGAGATAGTTAGACTGTTACGCGACAGACTATACTATAGGATCCATCAGCATATAGATGGATTTATTGCTTAGTTCATCCACTGACTGGGAAATTACCAGTGGAACGACTTCCTGCAGACAGAAAACTGCTGTTTTTTGAAGCCAAATGCTGCACAGGGAGGCATTTTTACTGCATGTCTCTGGGAGTGGGGAGTACCAACATGGCGGACGGCGGTTTTACTTTTTTCATGCAATCAGCAATCCAGTGAATAAATAGAGATCAGTGGTGTAAACTGACTGAGTCACATTAAACTCAGAATCAATCATGTGGACGACTCAGACCAGATGGAGGTCAGCGCCTCTAGTTGATGACGTCATTCAGTCCCTCTAGTTGATGACGTCATTCAGTCCCTCTAGTTGATGACGTCATTCAGTCCATCTAGTTGATGACGTCATTCAGTCCCTCTAGTTGATGACGTCATTCAGTCCCTCTAGTTGATGACGTCATTCAGTCCCTCTAGTTGATGACGTCATTCAGTCAGCGAGCGGTTTAACTCGGAGCTCTGATGTCAGCAGGAGTCTGACTCAGATTAAAAACTAAACCTCAGTTATTTTGGCTAATTTTGTTGTTTTAATTTTCACCAGCTTAATAATCACTAGTTTGCTTTTTCACAGAGTGAGATTGCTTTGAGCACATTAACATTTAACCCCCCCTCCTTCCCTTTCCTCCTGTGATCAGGGGCAGCAGCTGCTCGTTGGGCTGTCTGACCTCCTGCCATCATGGTGGCTGCAGGTTTACGCATGACGGCGTCTCTCAGAACCAGAGGCACTGCCTCCAGGACTCCAAGCCGTTGGTGGGAAGCAGCAGCAGTGCTGGTGATAAATGGCTGCTTCTGGAGGCGTTTGACATCATCACGGACGACTGGAACACCTGGTTTGGGACTCTGTGTGTCCTGCTGCTGCTGCTCTTCCTCATTTTACTCTGAACTGTAGGATCTGCAGGTCCACATGATTTTAGTTTGTTTGACCTCTTAAATGTATTAACCTGTTCTGATTATTCTGAGTAAATCTGATTATGTTAAACATGAGATTAAATAAATGTGGAAATGGAAATTCCTCTGCTACAGTTGGAAATGAATGTGTTCTGATCTCCGACATTGACAGAAGATTTAAAGCAGATTAACTGTTTGAAGATGTTAAGGTATAAATGGGTGAAAGGAATCTCCTGTAAAATGGATCTGATTTTAATAAAACATTGTTTTCCTCTTGGTTTAAACAAGCCTGTTTTTATTTGATGTTCAGTGTTTGTTATTTGACTTTGCTCTGCAGTGAGAATCAAGCTTTTCTCTGTTTTTCACTCCAAACAAACAAATCTGTCACCATGTAAGGAGAAGAGCACCAGATAAGCAACAGGTTTATTTCCAGTAGCTTGTTGGACGGCTAAACGTTTCATTGTGAATTTTCTCCAGTTGAATAAAGGAGTAAAATGGCTTCCATGTTTGTGCTCCCTGCCTCTAACAACAGAAACTAGTTCATTATTTTAAGGTTTCTTCTGTTCAGCTCTCTCTATTGCTAAGCTATTAGAAGCTAACCGGTGGATGGAGGAAATATGGCCGCCCTACTTTGGTAGACGTCACCCAGAACCCACCATGAAACCATCGCAGAGCGAATCTGTTTCCCTTAAAGTCAAAACTTTTATTAACTGATTTTATATTTTATTTTTGTTCCTACAATGAATCGACCTTCCAGGTGTTACTGGATCTCAGGGTTTTAAAGGAAACCGTTTGACTCCTGTTGTTCTGCTGTCAACCAGCAGGGGGAGCAGTTCTTTAACCTTAATCCCCCGAGAAAAGAAAAAAAAAACTGACAAAACTAACAGGGCGCTCGCG